TTACTAGGCGTCATGAAAGGCCATTGATAGTAGCTCTGACCGGAAATACTGACAAAGTAACCAAGGAGAACTGCATGAGGGTTGGAATGGATGGTGTTATATTGAAACCCGTTTCGCTAGAAAAAATGAGGAGCGTTTTATTGGACCTTTTGGAGCATCGGGTTCTCTTCGAGGCCATATAAGCACAGGGGAGCAAGCTGCTGGATGCCATTTAACCTGGAAAAAGATAGTACAGGTAATGCGCGTTTATCCATAGAGATATATGATTTTGTGTAAATACCCAGATGGTATTAGAGCATTGGAGTGATGACAAATAACAAAGTAATTCCAAAGGCAAGTTTATGATTTCCTCTTTTGCAACTTGCTATTACAAAAGTCAAAGAGAATTTTTATCGATTTGTGGAAAAATTTGGCTACTGTTTTTACTTTGGGTTGCAAACTTAATTGATCTGAAATGATCTCACTTCTACTCTAGAATTACCTGGGACTTTAACCCACCAAAATAGAGGTTGCAAAAGATTCTGAATTCTGATTTATGTTGTGATAATATTGAGTGCTTTAGTCTTGACCAGCAGTCTCTTATAATCAGTAAGCTTTGGAGCCATGGGATTTGTATAAATGATACTTCTTGTTGAGCAGCCATAAATATTTGACCTGTTTTATTGATAATTAATTTAATGTTTGAATAATTTCTCTCTTAATTAAAGGGCTTAATTTGAATTATTATTATTTATTTAGTGATAAAACTTGTAATTTGAAATTATTTATTGTTGGGAAGTGAATAAAATCAATATTTATCAAAACCTCTTTTCAAGTTTCAAAAATCATCACAATTATCTTTAATCCTAACTTTCACTCCAAAGATTTTTCAAATAGTTAACTATCTATTTAAATGGCTGGTTGTTACACTTTTTGAAAAATGTTATTCTAAAAAGTGTTTTAAGCGGAATTGAGTTGAATCAAATCAAATTAGATTTTAATCTGAAAATGTGTTTTGATAAAATATTTGAAAATTATATTAGAGTTGGATAAAATGTTAAATAGTTGTTTAGTACATTTTTTGAAAAAAAAAAAATTAAGACTGAATAGTTGTTTGATATATTCTCTCAAAATATTTAAATTATTATTTTTTTATTCCGTACATTTGTTAATACAGTTTAACATCTACGCAATAAAAGTTTAAAAATTAACTAAAACACCTTAGCTATTTAAGAGGATAGATAGCTGTTGGCCATCATCGTTGGATGGCAATCGGTAGTCGTCAGAATGGTGTACGATAAGTTAGATCTGGTTGGTCTGGGTCGATGTCGTTGTTTTTGACAAATCTACAATCAAAATTTGGTTGTCGTTAACGGCTAGAAATTGGTTGTTAACAAAATCTGACCATCAATGTTGAGATCTCTGGTCATAGATCTAGTAAAAAATAACCAGATCGATGCACAATCAGTAGATCTAATCGGTCATACATCGTTCCCACCATGTGAGTTGGCAATGGTGATCTCGCGTAGATTAATTTTAAAATTGGAAAGAGAGAAGAATTAGGGGAGAAAAAAATTGTTTTTAATTGAATAACTTGAAAACAAGATCCACAATTTATTCATTTTTAGACAAACAAAACTTATTTGAGTTTGATTAATTTTCATATCGATTAGCCCAATAATTAAACAAACATATATTCTATTTTTAATCTAAATAGGATAACAGAATAATGTAACAAACAGGCTAATATTTTGAAAATCTGTCTGCTTTATTCTTCTTACTCATTCACTGGTGTTTGTATACTTCAATTGATATTAATTAATATAATAAATAAATTATTAAAATGCAAGTGGATTGGCCGCCTCCTCCTCAAACTCACCTAACCATTCAACTCAAAAAACATTCCGGTTCTTACTATAAGTATTAAGTCATAAGATTTTATTATTTTAATAATTTTATTATTTTGTTTCCTTATGGGCTTAGAAAATTGACATCTTACCCCTTTAATCACTATTTCAAAGCTTCAATTAATAGTTGCCAAAATTAAAAATCAAAATAAGGATAGAGACAATTAATTTATTAAAAAGAATTAAATGAAAACAATTGGTATTGTTGATACAGAAATCTGCACCAACCAAAGAATTCCGATTGATCTTGTCGAAATCAGAATGTATGTGCGCGTGATTATGGATAACCAGCAGTGGATGAATAATAAATGCAATAAAGTAAATGACAGAGAGATTTTTAAAACGGTTCGGCAAGTTAGAACGTCCACTGTTATCTTATTATTTTTTAGAGCTTACAAAGAACAGTATAATTCATAGGAAAATTTGCTTAGAACAATTGCCCAACCCCCCTGAAAACAAGTTATGATGGGTTTATACAGCATCCATTACATGATATAGTTGAGATAAAATTCAAATACATAGGATTAAGAAGTTACATGATCTTCGGCTACTTGAGTTGAAATCTAAGTTAATATGAATTTCTTCCTTCCAAATTAAGTCAATTTAAATATCTTATCTCCTAATAGAGAATTAATTATCCTCTCCAGATTGACCGTACAACAGGTATTATTAAAGAGAAATCATGAATGGTAAGCATATAGAGAAGAATATAGAAGAGATAATAATAATATTATATAGCTGTGGGAATTTGGTGAATATTAATAGCAAAAAAAGAACCCAATGCCAACAATATTAAACAAATAAAGGGTTAGGTTCAATGTGATTAATGAATAATTAATCAATGTAAACACCCATTTCAAGGGCACATGTTAAATTCCCACTTTCATAAAGCCAAGAGAAAGCTCTCAAATCATATACAAATAAAAATAAAAAAAAAGTTAAAGTAGAGTGGCAGTAGAATATAAATCTTGTAAGCACTTTTTTTTTTTTTTTTTGAACTTTCATGAAATTCCTCAAATTTCATCCACTAAAATGCTGTACTTTTGTAGGGAAAAAAAGAAAATTATTCTCATAATAGAATTAGAATGTCTCAACTATCACCAAACACAATCATTGATTTTTTTTTATTTTTTTATTTTTGGGAAATTGGTTACTCTGCAAAATTTGGCAAATAAGACAAATAAATTTTGCTTTAGGGATTGAAACTTCATTTCTATTTGTTTGTAGGAATAATTATTTATTTAATATTATGTAAATAACAACTTATAAAAGTAAATAGTGACTAACAAATAAGAAATGATTTTATTATTAATTTAAAAAATAATAATTTAATTAACATGAGTGAGAGATTTGATATCCACTTGCAGGAGAATATTATTTAAAAAAATATTCTTAATTAAAGAAATAAATAAACTTGAAGAAAAAGAGAGATGATTCTGTTTGTCAGCAATTGTTTGATTAAATTATTGATCTTGTAATCACCACAACAACAAAATATTGTTGCACTTTTGCATTTATTTATTACAACAGTTTTTGTTTTATCTGCTTTCATTTCACAAATGTTATGGCTTGCTGTTTGGAACCATCACCCCTTCCCCCTCCCTTGTCAAAACTACTTTTTCTAAAAGCGCTTTTCACTTGTGAAAAGCACATCCAAATCACTCTTGTCACATTAGAAAGTGTTATCGAATTCTACACTATTTGTAGATATTTTCTTTTTTGTTCCATTTTACAAAAAAAAAAAACGCTTGTGGAAACTACTTTTTGTAAAAGCACTGTTGAGTAAATATACTACTTTTGAATTTTCTTTAGTTTAATAAAAGCATTTATAAATCAATTATCAATTAGATAAGTGTTTTTCTAATTAAGAATAAGTAGGTGATTTCTTTATATATTTCTTATTCAAAAAAAAAAAAAATTGAGAATACTTTTAAATTATTTATTTAAAAAAGTTTTTTCAGATATATTTTATAACAAAAAGCTGAGATAAGAGATATATTTTTTATATTGATATTTTTAAACTATGAAATTATTTGTAAAATGGCTTTGTTGAGTCCCGTATCAGTTATCGACCAAATCCCTATAATTATAAAACCCATATGAGATATGGAGGAATAAGCTATTCTTTTCTAAAAAAAGAAAAAAGATCTATTGTCTAGGAGATGTGCTAGCGGAGGCTGTAGGGAAGTCGGAATAGGAGAGCACTCATCTTGGGGTGGGTTTATTTTAGATGCTTTCAGCAGTTATTCGCTTCGCACTTGACTATCCGAATTTTACCGTGGACACGATAAGTGATGCGTCATTTCCAATCCTCTCGTACTAGGGAAATGTCCTCTCAATGCTCTAACGCCCACACCGTATATAAATATACAAACCTTTTATTCATCAATAAAAGAATAGAAAGACTCCAGTAAATTGTTCTAATTTTGCATAGAAAATTACTTTGTACAAAATATTTTATTTTATTAATCAAATAGGTCTTGACATTTTCACTATTCCTATGCAACATTGAACTATTGATTATGAAATTATTAAATGTATTGATGCCCTCAATCCAAGGGTTAGGGGAACCAAATTTGGACTTGTGGCAATAAATTTTGGGCCCCACCATACAAATCCACAACCAATTTGTCAACTAATTAATTAGAAGTTTGAGCATTTAACTTTAATTAAACACTTAATTTACGTTTCAATTAGAATATCAAATCAATAAAATGATGTGGATGCACTTCACGCATCAAATGTGTTTGGTTTTATAATACTTGAGTAGAATTAACAACAGAATTTGAAAATTCAAAGTATAATATCTTATTGAAATACCAAATAAAATAAGGGCTACATTGATTTTAGCAATAGTATCACATGAAATTCAATTGATATTTATATAAATTCATAATGAGTAAATGAAATGATCAAAGACAAGAAGGAAAGATATGGAGATAGGAATTACAATCCCAACAAACCGAAATAGCAGTTCTGGGGATGACAATACCAAAATAATTGAATATTGAAATAGGCAAAACAAAAAGGCTTTGACAATTTTGTTGTATAGTGTATTCAATTATAAAACCTGCTTTGGTGGCTGAAGTCATCTTTACGTTAGCTGTCCTTCTTGCCATTTTTAACGTCCCTCAATTTAATACACTTTCAACTCTCTCTCTCCCTCTCTCACTACTCTCTCTCTCTTCTCTTTCTCTCTAAACAGACCAAACAAAACAAAAATCATCCAACAAAGAAAATCAGAGTACAAAGTTTTTAACTTTATCACTCTTATTCTTCTTTCTAATAAAACTTTCATCTCCATCATCATCTATCAACACTGCCATTTTCTTTCTTCTCTTTGTGTTAATAAAAAATAATAATCTTTTTGATATTTTGTTTTCATTTCTTGAGAAATTTTCCATTTGGGTATCTGTTTATAGACTGCATTTTAATAAATCAGAATTGGGTAGTGTGTATTTCTTGTATTTGTTTTTCTTTACTGAGTGTTGAAGAATAAAACTCCAAAAAATAAAAAAAAAATAAAAAAATAAAAAAACTAAACTTTTGTAATTTAATTTGATTCATTTCTTTTGTTTTCTTGTATTTACATTCAAAGTTTTATACCTTTTTTTGATCCTATGGCTGCTGTTGCTGAAATTGCCGGTGAACAAACCGCCGCCAACACAACCACCACCACCACAACAACCAACACAAAAAACACCACCACCAACAACGACACCAACGAGAAGAGCAACAATAAGTTGGAATCGCCGAAATCGGATTCGGAATTCAATGTGCAAAAGCTGGTTGATATGTTCACAAAGTTGAATCCTTTAGCTAAGGAATTTTTCCCTTCTTATTATCATCAAAACGGTGATGATCAGAACAACAATTTTGCTAACAATAATAAGCATTCTGCCAATGATAATTTCCCCAGAAGGGTACTTCACTCATCATGTTCATTTCAAGCTATTGTTGTAAAATTTGTTTCCTTTTATACTTTCTGTTTAGTTCTCATGATTTTATTTGATGGGTTTGGCTCAATTTTTTTTGTTCTGTTGTGATAGTTTGATGATATCGATTTTGATCAAGTTCGTCTAGTGGTTTGGGAAAATGGGGTTCTGGGTTTTCTGGGATTTTTCATTTTCTGGTTTTTGATTGATGATCAATAAAAAATGTTTTGAGTATGAGAATTCTTGTTGCTGTGCATAGTAATTTTATTGTGTCATTATTGATTAGTATTAATTGATCATTATTAATTTTTTTTGGGGTGTGGGTGGAGTTTAATTGTATTTATTATGCATTATTGATTTTTTTTTCTTGTTAAATATTTTCGGCAGTTTGATTAATGTGGTTTGAATTAATTATTTAAAGTTTATCATTGTTCTTATGGAGGTTTGTGTGCAAGTTGGTTCCTTTTCGTTTACAAAGTGAATAGAATAAGGTTTCTGGGTTGGTATTTTGTAATTAATACGTTTTTATAAATTTGTTCTTGCTTTCGTTATGCATTATTCTTAATTGTGGTATGTTTCAGTCTTTGTATGACTCGAATTATTGTATAATGTTTTAATTTTTTGGGTTGCAGCAACCCATATGCAAATGTCATGTTTCTTGTATATGTTATGTATCTTTGTTTCTTTCTTCCCCTTTCAGAGGAGAAACAATTATACTCAGGGAAGGAGGAGGTTGAATGGGAGAGCTTTTAGAGCTCAACGAGAAGATAGTATCAGACGTACTGTATATGTTTCTGATATCGATCAGAATGTATGTTATGATTGATTACTATTTTCATGCCTCAATGTAAAAGTATTCCTCTAGTTTTATTTTTGGATTCTAATTTTGGAATATGTGATCCTTTTTCATTTTAGATTACTGAAGAGCGGCTTGCTGGGTTATTTAGTAGTTGTGGACAAGTAAGTTTTACTGCATATGATAGTACTGTTAACGGTTTGTGTTAGATGTTTCCCTAAATGGGTATTTCAAGGCTTGAATAAGTTCCAACCTGCATACTCCGTATTTATTATCTTATTACTTCAGTATAATGTTTTACTTTAATCATTTTTTCCAAGCAAAAGTTCAGTTTCATGTTCTTTGTTCCTTGTACTCATTTCACTTTTAACAGATGGGATACAGTTGCTGAAAATGTTTTAGGATTTCTGTCCGTTCTTACTTTGGCGTTTTGCGTTTTGACTTTCTTTAATGTGTTTCCAGTAAAAAATTAGTTGAAAATAAATACATTTGCTAGCTTTCCGGAGTGCATTATGCATAATTAAGATGCTCTTAACACGTGTTGTTCTGCAAGATAGTTTGAGCTTGCTTGAGACTTTAATTAGGGAATATGCTTCTGACGTCATTGCGCATAAGTGCATGGACAAATCACACTATAAAATGAGTGATGCAGGACAATCCTTTGAACAAAGTTCAGGAGCTCTCTATAATCTATATCTGTAAATTACTGTTTACTTGTCAGAGCTACATTGTGAAAAGTAGATTAACGTTGAGGTTTAAACTGGTTGAGCACTAATTCTACTTTTGTTTCAAGTCAAAGGAACAGGTTTGCTGGGTTTCTGGGCAGTGAGTACAAAAGGCTAGGTTTAAGGCTAGATGATTGGGTATTTGTAGTTTGGGCATAAATGTATGGTTAAAAGTGGGCTGCTTTAGAGTATTGGGAACGAATAAATATGGGAATGGTTTTGTGGTTTCAAACAAGTGCATAAAAGATGTTGTTTTGCAAATTTTGGTGATTTGCTTTATAAGTTGTTTTATCAAAAAATGAAACAGTAATCTTAAAATTGCCGAATTTTATAAATTTCTTAACAAAAGAAGAAAAATAATAAATTGACATCACTAAAGTGTTAAAGAATTTATTGTTGAAGGTTGTTGATTGCCGAGTTTGTGGTGATCCACACTCAGTTCTTCGTTTTGCATTTGTGGAGTTTGCAGATGAGCGTAAGTATCGACTTTCCTTGCGTTAAAAAGTGTGTTATTGACGTTTTTGGAACCAAGATGATTTATGATAATTCATATTTTATAAGTTGATTGAAATTTGTTTCCACAGATGGAGCAAGAACAGCTTTAAATCTTGGTGGGACAATGCTAGGGTACTATCCAGTTAGGGTGTTACCATCAAAAACTGCGATTCTTCCTGTGAATCCTACATTTCTCCCTAGGGTATGAATGAGTAATTCTTAGTCTATTCTTTCTTGCATTAATTTATTGTGATACATGGATTGCATATTTGTATTGTTTTGACCATTATCTTAAGATTTTGTTCTAGGTTGCGTTTTCTTTATAAATTCTTATACTTGTAATGAAATGCAGTCTGAAGATGAAAGGGAGATGTGTTCTCGGACAGTTTATTGTACAAATATTGACAAGAAGGTGAGACTACTTTTCCTTGTTGAGAATGCTGAATGTTTAAGTGGTTCTGCTGTTGTTTCCTGATTGTATCTTTGTGTTCCATTTTTTTGCACACAATATTGGTCATCATGCTGATCTTCTTTCCATTTGTATGGGGTAACTTCATTCTACTTGGTATGCTTCCAGCTAAAGATTTCATTGTAAGTGCAGGTTTCTCAAGCTGAGGTTAAAAATTTCTTTGAGACAGCCTGTGGCGAGGTTGGATTTTACCAAAGTTGCCTATCATTTATCTTTAATTTCGTTAACTAGCTAAAAAGTGTGTGGCTATAAAGAGCTCTTTGATAGTTAAAATTATCTTTTGATTTACAGGTTACTCGTCTGAGACTTTTGGGAGATAATGTGCATTCAACTCGTATAGCTTTCGTTGAGTTTGCTATGGTAATTTATTTTTACATCAGTGATTTGGAAATGCATTCTGTTTGAATATGTTTATTATGTCATGCAAACTCTTTTTTCCACTCAGGTTTTAATGTTTATATATTTCAATATGGTTGCTTTATATTATAAATCTTGCAATATCTGCGTTTATGTATTATTCTTGGTCTTATAGCTGATCTAGATGATCTCGCTGTCTGCTATCTTATTCCATGTGTGGGAGTGGGGGAGGGGAGTGGGTTAGGAGTTCATTTCCAACCCATATAGGATGCTTGTTTCGACTTCTCTTTTTCTGATCTGGTTAGATCCAGTTAAGTGGAAATACTATTAAAAGGGGAAGAGGAATGGCTGTTCTTTTCCATTCGCAGAGTATGTTAAAGACACCTTCTAGCTCATGAATCTTTGTCCTTTACTATTTTCTCCACCATAAGAAATATGAAGTCCCTAATGACAGTTTTTATACTGCTTGAAAGGATAGCTGGAATTTTGGTGTTCCCTGTTACAGTGAATATGCTTCAGTATAACTTGATAAAAATAAAATAAGAAGTTGTTGAGTCTATTGTTAGTTGTTCATTATGTGTATGAGGATCTTACCAAAGAAGATCATCCTAAATCTTTAGGCATACCTGAGTCTTCATGGTGTTTCAATTTGACATGATGTCTCCTTCCTAGTTGGACAAGTTATGTTGTTATGTGGCATAGCTTTCAGTATTCATCTCTAGCAGTTGGATATATTTAAAAAGAAATGAAGAGATAGACACTGCATCTCATTATGCTACTTCTTGTGGGATGATTTCTCTATGTTTGAGATGTTAAAATAGTTTTGATACCTAAGATAAAATTAGATCTATCCTCCCTTGATTTTGGAGTGATAATGAAGTATATCACGGAATTGTTCTGTTAGTATGGGGTTCTGCATTTACAGAGTTTTTATTCTGGGTACGACTGATTTGCAGTGATTCTCTAGTGAGCTAAGAAAGCTGAAAAAAAATTTGGTCTTTCTGGGTGGCTGGTTAACAAAATACGGTAAACTTTCGACTTTCAAGTAAAAATTCTATAATTGATCCACTGGTTAAGTTTCTTAGTCTTCCAACACTGCGACTTTTTAAGTTAGTTGGTGAATTTAGGTATGATCTTCACCTTCATTTTCCTTTCAACAATAAGAGGAAAATTTGAATCTTCTGCTCCATCTTCTTCAGGAACTATTGCAACACAGCTACTCCAGCAGAATAATGCTATACGGCAGCCTGTGTTTCCTGTTATCAGTCTTGGTAATAGCGTCTGTGATGCTTGAGAGTTCAATACATTAGACTATCTGGCCTAGTACTGTTGAAAAGCAATAAAATTATGGAAATATATGTTTACCTTTTATGTTGCAAAGATGTTCTCTTGACATGGTTGATTTGGTGAGTCCTTGGGTACATGTTGAACTCCTTTTTGGTATGTGTTTAGAACTTGTCTGTGCAGAGTAGTTATTTATCAAAACATTATTATATCACGAAATTAGTTATTGGTGTAACAGTAATGATTTCAAGCCAGGAATTCTGAAAAGCCTGAACTGCATACACCTAATGGATAGGAAGCTGTAACTTCATGGAGGCATTGTGGTCATAGTTGTTTTTTGTTTTTTATAGTATTTTTTCTTATAGTCATGCATTTAATTAACATCCTGAAGGTATTCATGAAATTTGTGCATTGTTTCATTGTTATATGATCTTCCAGTCTATATGTTTGTATAGAGGGATTGTTTTGTGTTAACCAAGTCAAAAGCAAGGTTATTTATTTCTGGATAAGATGTCTAATAGTTAATGTTCTTCCATATTGATGTGCCCTTTTCGTTTTGCTATTATTTGCGATAGCCCAATATGTTTACGATAGCCCAATATGTTCACTTATGTACCTGAAATCTTGTAGATTCTGAGAAAACATTGTGGCATTCTTAAATTCTCTTACCAATCTAATTTAAGACCAAAGTTCATATCAAAGGTGTTGAACCATCAACATTTCTACGTGCCTGGGCTGAGGATTATCCATTCTATCATTTAGCATTTCGTTCTTGATGTTCAATTTCATCGTATTGTGCCTGTTGAGAATGACAATTCCTGTCTATTACGCGGTCTAATATTTTTGTTTGCATCAACAGGCGGAAAGTGCCATCATCGCTCTGAATTGCAGTGGGATGGTCCTTGGAAGCCAGCCCGTCAGGTGTGGATCCTTAAACTCTTGCTTTTATAAGGGTTATATACGTAAATAATTTGTACTATGAAGCTAATGTTACTCTATTTTGCACCTGGATAATTTATCAGGGTAAGTCCATCAAAGACACCTGTGAGGCCTCGAGTTACTCGCCCGGCAATGCATTAGCTGACAATTGAGTTTCTTAAGATCCATGGATGGTATCGGGTGACTTTACAAGTTGAGAGTAGTAACTTTTTGTGTTGAAGGGATGGTGAAACTTCCCTTTGTTTCAGTATTTCCATCTTTTCCGTCGTAACACTAACTTTTTTATGTGACTGAACATATGGTTACCTGCTTCTGAATTGAAGTTTTTACCAGACCATCTTTGATCTTTTAAGAAATTTTCACAAATTCCAACTCCCTTTTTTTTTTTTTTTTTTTTTCATGGATATAAGTTTACAATGCCTGCTAAGTTTCAGTTTCTTCTGTTTGTGTTTCTGATTATAGCCTTGGTCATGCCAGTAATGTTACATTTACAAAGTTTTGAGATTTTAATTTGTATTTTAACATTACCAACCCAAAAAAAAAAAGTATTTTATCAGAATCTTTCTGATATGAACATCCATTTGCCATCCTGGAATTGCGTTCCATTGCTTAATGGATTTATGGAAGTACTCTTATATGGAGACCATATGGCCCCACTGATCCTGTTGGCTCAAACGATGAGTGAGATTAAAACAAATTCACCGATAAGTTTGAGTAAAGCGACAAATATAACTAGAGGATTTGGAAAGTGATAAACCCATCTGGTCTTTTATTTGTCATTTTTGGGAATCCTCTGGGTGTCCCTTTACTGAAACCGGTTGAAAATGTGGTTAATTTCCCCCTTGAGTTAAATTTTAACCAATCTAAAAAGTATTGTTTTGGGTCGAAGTTTAACCAATCTGATCAATTCTGGGTTGATTGAGTATGGACGGCCACCATTAATTAGACTTTCTATCAACTCAAATTTTTAGGCGACGATGGTGACAGTAAAGAGGGTGATTGAACTAGATGCAAAAGTGGACAGAGATTTCATCTTTAATAAATAAAAAAAAGAAGCGATAAAGAGATGTTGACATAAATCAAATCTGAATGCGAACCAAATTATACAATACATGTGGAGACAAGGAATAGTGGATTGATTGGGTTCCTTGGAATATTTTGCTTTTCTTTTTCGGTATTTGAGACGTGTGAACTTAGACCAACCGTTCAATTGACTTATCATAATGATACATCCAATCAAGACTAAATATTTTTTTGTCTTCTAACTCAAATACGTGGTTTATCTTTATCTTCCTTGTTATGCTTATGCATACAATTTTTCCTCTATAATTAAGTTGATAGTAATGTGAATTTTTTTTTTTTTAATGACCGAGGAGTGTTTGGACCAATTTACATACACTTTAATTAATCTCTCAATACCCTAAAACTATCGACCGAGTAATAAACTCTAATGGTCATCTCTATTAGCAATCGTGGAGACTCGAACTCAGGAGATATGTTAGATCTTTATCTTGCTCTTTTACTATCAACAAGATTCAAATTTGGAAGACCATATTAGATCATCCTTTGCTCTTTTACCATCATGCTACCAAGTAATGGTTATAGTGATGTGATATTGCCGAAGGAAAATACTATATCCACAACATCTTCTTACAAACTTCTTCTCACAACCTTAACGTGACAACTTATAATTGGTCAACTCACAATGAGTTTTATCTAATAAATTACGACTAACCAATTATAAGCTATCGCGTCAAAGTTGTGAGAATAAATTATGAGTAAGCTGCTGCGTCAAAGTTGTGAGAATAAATTACGGGTGTAATATTACTCGTCGCCAAATCATTCACCATCTTATTGTAGTTTCATTATTTTCTTTTTCTTTTTCATTTGAATTACACATGGAGGCATGGAATGCGTTGACGTATACACATATACCCAACGCACAGGCTGCGTCAGAAAAGATTTTTACATGATAATAGATAAATTAAATCCCCAAAAAGTCTTTGTTCCATAAAAAAAAAAAATAACTCCAATTCGAAATGAAGGATTATACACAAGAAGGTGGGGAATGTCGGCCATAAGAAGCTCCGTTGACATTAGAGCACTCTGAAATTGTAACATCATCGACGCCATTGTAGGATAAATTGATATCAGTCAGAGCTACATTCTTGCATGGAGAACTCTTGCTGCATTCAAATTTTACAGCAACTTTTGTGCTCGAAACTCCCCATATGTTTTTGTATGTTATGTCTTTTATTTGGACATGCGAGGGGACCTGTGTAAACCAAACAAGTCACAAATAATTCAACTTCATCTTTAACTGACTTGCAACTATGGTGTAACTAAAGGGAAGATAGTTAGTAGCATTAAAGTAGTATCAATTTGATGCAACAATGGACTGTTTTAGGGTACATTTTGTACGGTTTATGTGAATAAAGCTTATGGAAGTAGAGTTTATTAGAGTAAAGCTTTTACGAAAAATGTATTAATTGTTTGGTTTGAAAAATGTATAGTAGTTTTAGTCTTAAATTACCCAAAAAAAGCTTTAATATACGACAAATATAAAATCAAAGTCATAAAATAGTATAACTCTTTCTACGTATGATAGTGATATTATATAAAGTTTTTGTATCTTATGATTGAATGAATGAACTTGTAGTTTATTATTTATAACAAGAACAAGATAGTTTATCATAAATACCTGTAGACAATTAGGTTCTGGGCAATACTGTTGATCAATGATGATAGGATTCTCGACATTATTCATGAAAATGTTTTCAAAGGTAAAACCTGCAGCAATACTGGCAAAAGAAGAACCCCATGTTTTGATCCTTACACCATTTCTCGTGCGACTAAATGTGCAGTTCTTCACAGTCAGTCCATAAACATTCTCCTCATTCGGATACTTTCCGAGACTCCCGACGCTGATTCCATGGCCAGGGCCGCAAAACACATCACAAATGTCGATGTAGGAGCTTCCAGAGAGAATGGAAACACAGTCGTCACCCGTGCCAATCTGAGTACGAGAAATTTTGATTCTGTTTGAGCTTCCGATTTTGATTCCATCGGTGTTGGGGCTGTCGCCGGGGGCTGATATTACGACGTTGCTTATGTTGATGTTGCTACATCCGAACATCAGGAAATGGTTGGTTTTGCTATCGAGTGATGTTATGTCATTCACCTTTGAATTGGTGATGAACTCGAATCTTATTGACTGAAACAAGAAACCATAATATACCACAATTAAGTTTTAATTTGATAACTTATATTACTGCAAATATATTTGACTTAATTCAATGAGAAAATTAAATGTAAAATGGAAGCCATTCCTTGTCTAACATATTTAAAGAATTTCAAGTTATAATTTGGGGATCTTTCATACAAAGTTTGAAAGTTCTTATTTAAAGTAATAAACACTTTCGAAATTTTCTTAGGTTGTTTAGTTACGTTTTAAAATAGGTTATAGAATTTATACAAGAGAAGGTCCTCCTACAAACTGTTTTGAGTTTATTTAAAGCATTGAAACTTAAATTATATATTAAAACCCTCTTTATAATTTTCTAATCAAACAACTAAATTCAATGAGAAAATTTAATGAAGCATGAACTTACAACTGGAAATTCTCCGCAGTTGGAGCTGCCCTCGCGGCATGAATTTCTCGTCCAAGCAGAGGATCCTTGGCCGTCTAATATGCCGCCTCCGGTGACCACCAACCGATTAGCATGTCTAGAAGTTATCCATCGATCACTTTCCATAAATCTCAGATTATTAAGAGACTTCAACGTCCCTTTAATTAAAAACTGGATTGCGTTCTTGCATGGACCAGTAAGTGTCACTGAGTTTAAGTAAAATGTTCCAATTGGTACATAAACCCTAGCCTTCCCCTCTTGCCATTTACATGCATCGTCCCATGCTTCCCGAAATGCCTATAAAAAAAATACAAATAAGTTCAAAGAGTGTCATTACACAAATGTCGGTGTCAAAATAAACCACCACTCCCGGCGCAATATGATGTCGAAAAAGATGCTTTTTCTTTTCCGGCGCAAAGAGTAATCGAGATATACTTTTTAGCTTTCTGCAATGCAATATAAAAGATCGTTACTTTAAAGTAGACAGGAGATGAATGAATTACCTTTGTGTTGTCTGTTCGGCCATCAGCAACTGCACCGTATTTTCTTACGTCAAAAATCTTGATGCGGCGCTCCTCTTGAGCATTTGTGGCTCGTGCAAACAAGAAAATGAGAAAGAAAACACTAGAGAAACCCCGTGTCAAACCCATATGTTATGTAAATCCACAATCAATTCTCACCTAATCACATGCACAAATAACACACATAACACACACACTACAAAATCAACAATCAACCAACTCAAGAACACCTAATATACCGTGGTTCACCTTTCTACAAAAAAAGAAAGATTACATTCACATTGAGCTCCAGGAATTTTTGGGGTTCACTGCACTAGGAATAATCGTTATTACAGATTACAGGAAAAACTCTCACTGATTTACCCAAAGATCAATCAAGAACTCACTCACACAAACCTGACAAAAATCCCTAGAGATGACCTGACCCAGTCTCTCTAAACCTGAAGGAACAACCTGCCCTCACCCAGGATTACACAGATTTACAAATCAAAACAAGATTGAAACAAACTCTAAAAACAAAGGGGCAAAAATCAGATCTGTCGTGCAAGAGAAGGAGCAATAGAAAAAAATCAGTTATGTGTAAAAAACTCACGTTTTATAGTCTGACCTTGTGTGCTAATTCTGGCCCTTGGATCTGATTGATTTCAGTGGCTGAGATCTGCTCTTAATCTTAAGTGAAACTGCAGCGTTTTGCTTAATAAAATTCTACAGAAACGTTGCGTTTTGAGCTTCAGATATTAACAATTCTCCACCTTGAAGCTTAAAACTTCTACAAACCAAATTTCCTAAGTGCAGCTCACCATCCTAAACTCCCTTCATAGCTCAGTTGCTACCTGTTACTTGACAAACAATAGGTTCAAGCAATGCTTGAACTTGGCAGCAATGACAATCTTGGTACCCATATCAGTAGGATTATCTTCAGTTGGGACTTTCTTCAAGATGATCAATCCTTGGGCAACAAGATCTCTGACAAAATGAAATCTGACATCCACATGTTTGGTCCTATCATGATAGACAAGATTCTTGCTCAGGTGAATGGCGCTTTGGCTGTCTGAATAAATTGTGGCTACTCCATCAATCAAATTCACTTCAATTAGTATTCCTTAGAGCCACAGTGCTTCCTTGAATACATCAGCAATAGCCACATACTCTGCCTCAGTTGAGGAGAGTGCCACAATAGGCTGGAGTTGAGATTTCCAGCTCACACAGTTTCCTCCCAATGTGAAGACATAAGCAGTGGTTGATTTTCTTGTGTCTTTATCCCCTGCAAAATCAGAATCTACAAAGCCCACAAGATCAAGTGAATTATACCTTTTACAATATTCCAAACCAATATGTGAAGTGCCATTAATATACCTCAGAACCCATTTAAGGGCTGACCAGTGTTCTGACCTAGGATTTGACATAAAACGACTTAGTAATGACATAGAAAATGAAAGGTCAGGTCTGGTGCTAATCATGGCATACATAATTGACCCTATTACATTTGCATAAGGGACTTGTTCCATCTTTACTAACTCAGAATCTGTTTTGGGACATTGGTGTTTACTAAGTGTGAAATGACTTGCTAAAGACATAGATACAACCTTTGATTCAGCCATATTAAATTTAGAAACTAATTTTTTCAAGTGAGAGCTTTGAGTTAATCTTAATTCATGGCAGTTTCTATTCCTATGTATTACCATTCCTAATATCCTTTTAGCACATCCTAAGTCTTTCATATCAAACTCAGCCTTAAGTTTACTCTTTAGCCCATCTATCCTAAATTTAGATTTGCTAATCAAGAGCATGTCATCCACATATAAGAGTAAATACAAAGGCATATCATTATCCAAAACAAAATAAAAGCAACTATCGTATTTGCTCCTATTAAACCCAATGCTTAAAATAAAAGAATCAAACCTCTTGTACCATTGCCCAGGGGACCGTTTCAGTTCATACAATGACTTATGAAGCAAACACACATAATTTGGAAGTCTTTTATCAACAAATCCAACAGGTTATCTCATATATATTTTCTCTTCTAGGTTTCCATGTAGGAAAGTAGTCTTAACATCTAGTTGCTCTAGTTCTAGGTCATAATGTGCAACTACAGCCAACATAATCCTAATTGTTTTATACTTAACTACTGGTGATAAAATTTCATTAAAATCAATGTCTTCCCTTTGTGTGTAACCTTTAGCTACAAGTCTAGCCCTATACCTAGGAGGGTCAGAAGAGTTTATACCTTCTTTTACCTTGAATAGCCATCAACATTCAACTAGTTTCTGATCCTTTGGAGTTGGGACTAAGGACCAGGTTCTGTTGACCTTCAGAGACTGCATTTATTCCTCCATTGCAACCTGCCATTTGTCCTTGTCCTTTGATCTGATTGCTTCTTCATAGCTATCAGGTTTTGATCTTAGTACTTCAGCTCTAGCCACTAGTGTAGTGAAGATCAAATCAGCATAGGAGTATCTTGCTGGAGGTCTGGTCTCTCTACGGGTCCTGTCTCTGGTTAGCTGATACTGTGCCAGGGACTCTTCTTGGGTTGGTTCTAAGATCTCAGCTGGTTCACCCTCCTGGTCATGATCCAAGGCTGCCATTTCAGTTTCTTCATCTGATTTTTCTTCATCAGGTTGAATACTTGAGGGCTCCACCTCAATTTCTGTCCCTGCATTTGGTTCTTGACTCATAAGATCAATGCTAGAGGTACCTGCATCATGGTTAGTAGTTTTGCAAGAAAAAATATCTTCATTAAAAATAACATCTCTACTGATTATTACTTTAACCCTTGGTGATGTTCTTTCCCATAATCTAAACCCCTTAGTGCCTTCTTGATAACCAAGGAAAACACACTTTAGTGACTTAGGTTCAAGCTTCCCTTCATTTGTGTGTGCATAGGCTGCACACCCAAAGACCCTAAGGTGGTCTAGGTTTGGCTTTCTTTTGGACCATCTCTCCTCGGGATAGGTGAAACCTATGGCACTAGGAGGGCTTCTATTGACTAAATATGCAACAGTATTAAGGGCTTCTCCCCAAAAGGTCTTGGGTAATCCTGATGTGAACAGTAAGCATCTCACCTTTTCTAGCAAAGTCCTATTCATTCTATCAGCTACTCCATTTTGCTGAGGAGTTCCCCTGACTATTCTCTGTCTCAAAATACCTTGATCACTACAGTATTTATCAAACTCTGAATTGAAAAACTCTAACCCATTATCCGTCCTAAGGGCTTTAACCTTTCTGTCCACCTGATTTTCTACAAGTGTTTGCCAATTCTTGAACCTATCTAAAGCCTCATTTTTAGATCTAAGCAGAAAAACCCAAACTTTCTTACTGTAGTCATCCATTATCGACAGGAAATAGCTGCTGCCCCCATGAGTTTCTATCTTTTCTGGCCCCCAAAGATCAGCATGTAAGTATTCTAAACAGTTAGTGGCCTGGTGTGTCCCCTTATGAAAACTTAGCCTATGTTGCTTCCCCATTATACATGTTTCACAAAACTTCAGATCACTAATGACATCCTTGCCAAACAACCCCTGTTTACTTAGAGTATCTAGGCCTTTTTGGCTCATATGCCCTAAACTCAAATGCCATTTTTCAGTGTCTGTCAGATTTGTAGTAAGCAAACAATCGGAACAGTAACCTCCACTCAAGATGTACAACCCATTCCTCTTTACCCCCATCAGCCACTCCTTCACTAAAACTCCTCAAGCACTCAAAACCCTCATTACTCCTCCCTTCCCTACACATACCATCTAACAAAGTTTTATACGTTAACAAATCCGGCCCCATACGGTTCCCAACTATCAAACATAACCTCAATTGCATCCTCAAATCTCTCTCAATTGCAAGACTACAATCAATCAAATCAACAATCATAATACTACTCGACCACGCACCACCCCTTCTCCTTCATTTCCTTATAAAACCCTAAACCCTGCCCCACCCTCCCCTTTTCACTCACCCCTTCACATATAACCCATACGTCTATGCATTGGGCTCACATCCGTACAACCCCATCTCCCGAAAAACCCTTATAGCTTCATCCACCTGAAGACCTTAGATCAGCCTTAATGATCAGATTCAACGCGAACGTGTCAGGTATAACTCCTAATGATTTCATTTGCTTCGTTAAAGACCTAACCCCATGCAAATAAACATAACAAACATTCAACTTATTGAACCTCCTAAGCAATGATTCAACAACAAGTAAACGTCTCAAGCGTGGCTTACAATTCTCTGATTTCAGCATTTTCTTGTACACATCAAGGCGCGATTAAATAACAGGTTGCGACCGCAACAGAATTTAATGATGCAATTATATAAAGGAATAGACATTTGACAGTTACCACAATGACTTCTTCGATTAGGGTTTCGGTACACGGTATCGCTTTCCGGAGATTAAAAGCTTGATCATTGTGTGGTAGGTCTCGTAGTTGTGTCTGTATCCGTGTTGCTGGGCCGTCCATCGGAAGATGTCGAGGGCGAGATCGGGGTCTGATTGGGCTCGCAAGGCATAGACGACGTCGGATGGGGTGAGCCGGTTTGAGGTGTTGGATCCAGGTTTCGAATTGTTTTTCAAGGGAGTTCGGGTTCGGGTAGGATTAACTGGTTGAGTGAGGAAGAGAAGGAGCGATGGTGATAGAGTGACCGATGAGTTGAGGGAAGTAGAGGTACGTGGAGAGAGGAGAAATTTGGAGTGTTTGAGAGCAGAGTTAGAAGGCGACGGAAGGTCAGGGACATTATTACAGACTGAATATGGGAAAAGAGAGGTAGCATAATGAGCTTAGACACTACCGACGACGGCGAGAGATTTCTATGCTGGGCTTTTACCGCCTCGGCCCAATAGTATGCCCATTAAAATGGGCTGCTGACAATACCCAACGTAGGTAGGTTTGGGTTAGTTCAGTTGAGGCCGTATAGTGATACTCATTTTCGATTGAAATTCAAGTTTAATGAAGAAGATTTATCGAGAATCTTGACGTCTTTTTCTGTGGTTTTTTGCGTTTGGGGCTTGTAGGTCATGATTGTGACGCATAGCATGAAAGAATGGCAATTGGCATCATGACATATTAGTTTTCTTGGCGGATAATGACTGTATGTGAAGATTCCATTTCATAAGAGTTATGTAAGGTACCGCCAAACTTGGAAATAGGACTTAGCGTTCCGAGAATATTATATATCACATCGATAATAAATAAATAAAAAACGGATATATTGTTCAAAGTTAAGGGTCACACATTGTTAAAATACTCAAGAGTAGTATTGATCTCCACTATGAGTATGAGTTGTAATGTTATGGTCCATAAATGGGAATATATAATCTAAACGCCTCATCCTTTTTGTCTCCTATTTGAAATAATAATAGAGTTAAGGACATGTTACCACCCAACAAATGCCCATTGAAATTTTCCCACCATCAAACTTTTAAAACACTCTTTTACTACTCAAATATTAGGCTATCCTCTGATTGAGGTGGGAACCAAAATAATTTACTAAACCCCTTTCTTTTTTCTTCTCTTTTCAACCTTTTCCATTGTCGGCATTGGAGAGTGTCGATGACCAAAAATTAACAACAAACATTCTTCATTTATTTCAACCCAACAAACACAAACATTTGAAACAAATCAATTAAAACTCAAAAAACCCTAAGGAGGAAGCTTCAATCGCTGACAATTGGTAGCAAACAGGATTGGGAATGTTCGAGCTTTTGGAGAGGAAGATTCAGGAGTCGATTATTGGTGGCAGGGACACATTTTCGCACAAAAAAACAATCGAAAATCTTACTTGAAGAGTCGATCATGCAAATGGAGTGGTGGTGGAAAATGGTGAGTGATGACGACAAATGGAGGCTTGAGCTTTGTAGAGAGTGATGTGGATTCTTTAGGTGGTGTCGAAGCGATTTTGAACGCTGAATAGGTCGAAAAATGGCAAAACCCTCCTAATCTGACGTTGCTAACTCATGCCATCTTCTGCTAACGTGCACCGTTCTTCTTCTCCGACAACCACTGTTTGGTGACCATTATGCCCTCATTAATTATGGACTTTTGACCATTTTACCCTTTCTGACAACAAAATTACTAATAAAATTATGTTTAGGGTACTGAAATGGTATTTAAAATGTGGTGTGTATGAATTTGTCGATGGGCTATTTTTTTGGGTGGGAACATGTCGATAACTCATAATAATATGATGATCGTATTGTCAAATTTAATAACTTTAAATTATATGTCTAATTACCAAACTAGAAGCATGTGTTGATGAAGAATAAACTGACATTATCTGCTCAGCAAGTTCGCAAGTTTTAAAATTTGTTGGGTATGCGCTTGCAAATCATTTTGACTGCACCAATTCGATGATAGAATTTGAAGTAGATCTGACTCCTCACTCAATAGACCTTGTTGAATGGAGGATTACGCCCTCTTATAACCCAATAGGTTTGAGCATGTCTAGTCATGTGAGACTCTAACACTCCCTCTCACGGTCAAACCCATATGTGGGTCATGCTTGTTAATGGGGTAGTTGT